TGCGACGAGTAAAAAAGGAAATAAACTGCACGCGCGCGACACATAGATATGCCAGTCGTATTTACGAGAAAGATGTCATAACATCGCAGATTATGAATGACAGGTAAATGAAAAAAGGAGAAAGTATTGGTGATCGAGTGCCGCGAGGTACGAAAATTTTACGATGACGATAACTTTCTTTTACATTGAAACCTGGTAATAGACAAACGCATCGAACTGCATCGCGAGAATTTCGTTTACGCATGAATTAACTTGATATACTGCCTAGCATGACGATAGTGGCACGTCGAGCGAGATCATAAAACGGATTTGGCTTCCACCGCGTTGCGAAATATTATGCCAAAAAATGTACAAAAAAACACATTGTTATTTAGTAACGCGTTTTAAGGCGTTTTAAATGTTTTTCATTTAGTTAACTTGTGGTTAGACTTAACTCAGCGAGAAATGACTCATCGAATCGATATCAATTCGACGTTGAATTGGCGGTTATTTCTCATTGGAAATTTTCATAGTAAAAATTATATTTTTCTATCTACAGTTAATCATCAAAATAATAATTTTGTAATGAATAACTTTTAAAGTTATCTCTCTCCACAATTAGTTTAGCTGTGATTGATCACAGCTAGAAAAACACAATTTTTACATTATCATCAAATTAAGTAAAGTTAAAAAAAAAAAGTCCAAACCACAAGTTAACCAGATAATGAAAAATCGGGCCTTTAAGTATCCGAGGTGTAATAAATTTCACGCGATATATCCGTGTGATGCGTGAAAAATTTGTCACGCGTTTTGCCACAGGTTTTTAAGTTTTATCGCAGCGGCGTCGAAACATATCGAAATTCCGCGTCACCAGTCACGAGTTAAGCTCATAGTATTGACATATTGAAGTGGATCCACTCGTTACTCGCGCTGCAGTTTTGCGGAACGAGACCCGCGGGAGCGATATTCTGAATTTTCGCTATCACGTATGAGAGGCCCGTGAGAAATACATAGTTCGGAATGCGCGTTCGCACGCAGCGCCATTGTTGTCGGGCTTGCAGTGGATTACAGTAATATGAAATATGTCGCTTCTTGACAGAATTGCGCGAATTACGACATATGAAATGCTCGCGGCGGTGTGGGTTCGTTCTCGCCGCGCGGCGCGAAACAAATTTTATATCACGCGCCGCGTCTTGTTGCGTCGCAGAGCATTTTTGACACCATTCCGCAACATGCAATTATCACAACGAATTCATATCATTTATATAATCATTGTGTAGGGACGTTCGTACAGACAGAGACCGTCGTTGAGCAGTGTAATTTCTCTCTCTTCCATTCACTAGCATTATTTCTTTTAACATACTCGTATAGTTAACAGAAAGTAAAAAAAATGTCTTAATGACCTCAGATAAATGTACCTCAGAATAAGTACACTTTAAATAAGAAGATTTTAAAAAAGAAGTATGCCGTGCTAAACTTTAATCGCGAACTGCATCCAACGAATGCAGTAAAAAGATCGCGTGCAAATAATCACTCGTGCGCTTCAGTTAAAGATGGTACCACAATAATTTCCCGCATTTATCTACATTCTTTTGTAATTACCCTCTTCAAGCGATCTTAGTATTTTCCATATATCCATTCGTGCGAGAATATAATGTATCTCAATCGGTTCCATGAAAAAGGGATGTTTGACGGACAAAATACATCTTGGTATCTTGCCATTGTTTATCACTCACTTTTAAACAAATTTTTTGCTGACATAAAAGGATTATCCACCTAAATAACATAATAATTATCAGTTTATACCCTTTAAGTATTTGTGCGCACGAAATATTATTTAGCATACAGAGGTCACCTAAGAATAACAGGTGCAGTGTTAATTCCAATTTAATCTTTCCAGGATTAGACTCGAGATTGATGTTAAGAATTCGCGTGTCGGTTATGAAACATACATGTTATGTCGCTTGATCGTCTCCGCCTTGTTTTAGATCCGCGATAATGCTACTTTTACCATATCCCCACTATTATTTCGATAAAAGTAGTTACACAAGGATACGACGTTGAGGATATCTACTATTTTTTTACAATGGAAATGTAATAATATCGGCTGTGTGTCGTTAAAAATTATTTTTATTCCCGTACATATACCGATCGCCATGTAGAATAACATTCGCGAAAATGCAGAATGGCTGTCGCATTCGCTTTTGCGAGCTTCTGTTATTTCTGAATTCTGGAGTGAGTTGAGCTGTGTTTCCATTAAGTCATACATTGACGCGAAAGATATATACGGCGGGTGAAATCGCGTGCAAATTATCGTCTTGACCGGCAGCGTGCAAAGAACCCTTCTCACCCCTTCCGCAATGCCACCTTCTACCCTAGGAAGAATGACAAATGGCCGCCCATTAGGTCGATTTCGTGGTCATTCCGTCGTTGCCCTCGCTCCGATTTTGCCGACAAAAAATTAATTACAACGATTCCTAGTTGTAATTTCAAAAGCTGTTGTTGGGAAATGCTGTTAGAGATTACATCGACTTTCTAGAAAATGAATGAATAATCCACGAAATTATAATTAAGAGAAATTCTCGTATAAGAACTAAAAAAATAAGGTATTTTAGAAATATAAAAAAAAACCATTCACGTTTGAACATTTTATACACATACATAAAAGATACATGTTTCATAAAAATCTTTAAATTTTTTCATATTGGGCTCCTATTTCTCTCCCTATTATGTTTCAACCACTGATGGCTGCGGCGATTTGTGAGAGCTCTCATTTCCGTCCTATGAGACTGAAATAAAAAAAATCAAAATTCGTTTTACTTGTTAAACGTTTTTTTTTGTATTGAACCACTAAAACGTGGAAAATACAAAATGGCAGCTTGTCAAAGTAAAAGTATCGATGTTTATCAAGTTTAACTTTTACTACGACAGGCTACCATTTTGTCGTTTTTTTATACATTGAGGCATTTTAGTGGTTCAATATCAACAACAGCATTCAACGAATAAAACTTTGATTTTTTAATATGTATTTCAGGTTCATTGGACGGAAATGAAAGCTGCCATAAATCACCGCAGACCGTCATTGGTTAAATTATAAATATAAAGAAAGAAATATAAACGTAAAAATTCAGAGATATTTATACTTATTCAGGAAACATACTTGGGTATATCTTTTATGTCTTCAAAGTAAAACGTGAGTAAATATAATTTTCCTAAATATTTTATGTAAAAAAATTCTTAAAAATACTTTATTCTTATACAACTTTCATTGTTAGACGAGAATTCCCGCATCATTAAAATAGAAATAAATAAAAAGACGTTTTTATCTCACGCGATATTTTTGAAATGAAAGATACAAAAGTTGGTATTATATTTTAAATATAACCAAAAATTTTTGAAAAAGTTATTAAAGGTTGATCCTAAGCTGTCTCTACTGGGATTTAGATTTTTTAAAACTTTGTGTATGTAAAAAAATAGGTTGTTTTTAAAACGAACTAGATTCTGTGTAACATATTTTTTATATACTATATTGTAACCCGGTGAAAACTGTTATGCAGTTTCTATTAAAACGTTAGCCTGCCATAGTAAGCTCTGGTTTATATTTTACGATGCAGCATGTTTGTAAAAACATAGCATAAAAAGATCCTCTTGATAATACAAAGTACATTTCTCAATGATGTGCACATTAAAGTTGGTCTTTCTGGTTTTTGCGGTTTCAGTTATTTACCGAAAGTACACGCTACATATACAGTACTAGAATACGTAAAAACCACAGAATGCCATAAAAATAAACATATCACTCATCACCGGCATTTGCTCACCGTTTTTTTTAACGTATTGGACTGCGAGATTAGTCTCATTAGGGAGAAATCGAATGTCATTATTTCACGATGCCGGAACGTGGTAAAATAGGTGCATCTGGCCTCTGCTATGAGAATAAACATGAAAGCGTCGTTAATTAACACGACGCGTTAGTTACGCGTGTACTGCGTACACGTCGTGTCGGTTGTCTTTTCGCCGCTAGCAACACCTGTTGAAGTAGAAGTTAGACGAACCTTCTGAAAGCATAGGCTAACGTTTCGCCACACTGTGAAGTAATTGTATAACGAAGCCGAGTAATTTCGATCGTAATTAAGTGCCTTTGAATCAGCAGTAGTTGCACGAACTTGCTTATATTACACGTGTATAAAATTTGTTGTCGATAACGATACGTATATATGTACTTTATTTTCTCCGAGAGCACTCTGAAATTTCTTCCAAGGCAACGGCGGACCATGAAATTTTCCTGACGAAACTTTTGAGGCATCAACTTGCTGCGATCGATTCTGTAACGCGTCTCTCACACTATACACAAATTGCATGCGTGATTGCATTTCTCTATAAAATAACCGAAGATTACTTGTTACATTTTCGTTCCCTCCAAAACCCAAGGGCGGATTTTCTGTCCCTCACATTTCTTTACCAACTAAATCTAATTTATTGAGAAACGACGTTTACTCGTTTACTACTTTCCCGCAATAATATGTATATTCATATAATTGAAATGATAAATGTATAAATGTCATTGATTCATTGTCAATCATATAAATACGTACATACGTACATTAAACCATAAATACCACAACTATAAATCTATTATTGGATTAGTAATCTCTATATTTATAGGGAATATGCTCAGTGATTGTCAATTATAGCTAACATTTGTCCCTCTGGTCATTCAATATGCCATCAGTGATGATTTGAATATTCCCAGATATTCCTACTATTACACTATTCTCTCAGTAAATATAAACATTGAAGATAGTCACTAAATTATCAGAGTAAAAATTTGCAAAAATGTCAAAGAGTATTCGCTCTTTGTTACAAAATACCAGTGTCATTAATAAAAATCAATAATTGTGTACTCCAGATTATAGATAGACTATATCGGAATTAAATATGTAAAAAGGAAAACGGTTTATTGATATTTACGTAACATTTATAAAAAAAAAGAACGAAGACGAAAATAGATGGCACGGTAGATTGAAAATTTTCTCAAAGGAACTTCGCAAAAGTGCAGAATTGGCGTCACATTATTTTCGCTCTTGCAGCCGAACGAGCTCGAACTCCGCTATTGAAACTCCAATTTTTTCTCTTCACGTCCCCACTGTAGAACATCCTTTTTTATCGCGCAGCTATAAATTTAAGAGGGGCTTAGCGCCGTGGTTTAATTAAACTAGTTTAGCCGTCATTCTCTTACCTAAGCCTTCTCCTACGTGCTGTGCCTGAATCGATCGGATACCTTCGTCCTACAATTTTCTTTATCGTTAATCCAGCAGGATGTTAAATTAATTTTAGGTAGCGCATATTACCTACAAAGCGCCGAGTATAATAAGATGCGCGCATAGCGAAATGGACACGATGGCAAAAGTTTTCTAATAATCGATCCGCGGAAGTTTCTCATTTACTCCGCCGGCTATTCTAAATACACCAAGTAGTCAATGATGCTGGAAAAATATGTAATTATATTTTTAGTTTCGTTACGTCAGACGTTAGGTTATTAATATAATATCGCTCATCGTCCAAGGATAGCATTATAAGGCAACTTCAACATTAGCTTCCTGCTTCGTAAAAGATCTTTGACATTTACGAGCTCATCTGCGTTTATGGTTTTAGTAATTTATGAAGACTTAAATATTGTTGTCTATTATATTAACGATATCATTTTGACATAATTGACGTACCTTCAGAAACTTTCTCATATTAGAAAAAGAAAGAGAAAAAAAAAGAGATTATTCATAAATCGCATATAATATTAATTAGATTTTGAAAATTACTCCAAATTTAAGTAATATTGAAGATGATTCATTTGAATATAATTGTTTAAAATTGCTCTTGCTCTCTAAAATCTATTTCTCCTTTGAAATCTCGTACGCGTATGTCATTTGATGAACACAATTACGACTATGTGATAGTGCGAGAGATTTTAATCACAGAACAGTATTCATATCGCTAATGATATGCATCAACCGCGGCTGCGTACCAGTCGGATTAAAATTCTTACAATTATGATTTACATTGAAGATCCGACTGCGATAAAATAACCTACCGTGTGTTATTTCAATTTTTCGATACTCGTGCGTAACTGTCGGTGTCGCGGCACGTTCCACACTCCGTAGTGCCCCAAGGACAGTTTCGATGGGTGCGAATTGCCCGTTTAATTATGGGACATCGGAGAACCTTGCTAACGATATTCAGAAGCACCTTGCCATTTATATCCCCTTTTATCGACTACATCATACTTGAGTTTCGCGGAGTCGTTGTTCTCGAGGGCGAAGCCGGAACGCGGTCGAGCAAAACTTCCTCGGATGAAGTCGACGATAATAATCCGCTGTTTAAAGTTCATAACAACCTCGTGACGAGTAACCGTGGAGATTTGATTTAATTCGTCGCGTCACGATCTTTGACCCGCAAAATACTACGCTGCGCGGCATGAAGTCTTACAGAATACCTTAACACTTTCATTCCAGTGAAATTCCTGCGACGTGACAGAAAACAGAAGTATTGTACTATAATACATTTTACTAAAGAATTTTCTATTCTCTAGAGATATTTTAACTTTTATGTGATCAATAATACATCGTGCGCGATGTGGCAGCGAATGTATTGTAGTACAACGCCAACTAGCGTTCTAACAAATTCCACCGGCAGTGTTATTGATACACCAGCAAACCGGCACATTTGTCGGTTGCAACCACCTCGTGCTTCGACTCCGACGTACCGAAAGGGTTAAGCTCAATTGTAAATCAGGCATAACTAGTGACGTAACGGAGCGGCATTACTCACTTGGCTTATCCAGATCGGATAGTTCCACAGGCGGCGAGTATGCGGCTACCAAGACTAGCATCGTCGTCGCCGTAGTCACGACACTCCACCACCGCCACCTCCACCACATTTTGTCCCCCTTTCACGCGCACTGCACACACCCTCGACCCCCTAACGGTCGGTGGTCTCCTCTTCAGTCGTTACGTTGTCTCGCGGCCGTTGCGAGCTGGCACTAATTGCAACCCTCGACGTTGCTGCCGTTCTCGTCGTTGATGCCGTTGTCGTTGATGTTGTTTCTGCTGCTGTTGCTGCTGTTGCTGCTGCTGCTGCTGCTGCTGCTGCTGCTGCTGCTTTGCGCTGCCATCCACATCGTCCACTGTTCTTTGCCGTCGTTGTTGCTGGCGTAGCTGTCGCCGTGAACCGACATGCCACGTATCTATCTTGTCGCTCACCTATCCGTCGTCATTTAATGAGACGCTGACTATTTGTCTTTTGAGACTCCCAGGAACGAAATCTCTAACGACGATGCATGCTGTCGCCGTACGACATTCCCATCTTATTCAACGATCTTCGTTCTTCTCTCTCCTATCATGTAAGATCCTTTTCTCTTCAGATAGGACGATTTGAACGCGCGATCGATCTCTCCGGCAAGATTTTCCGATGTAGACGTAATTCTTCAAACGCAGATATCACGAGTAGTTGAAACTTTATCCGCTTCGCGCCATTTCCGCCGTTTGTTATCCCTTTTTTTTTATTCCATGACCGATGCGTTCTGTCAGGGAAATTTCTCGCTGCTACAGGATTCCATGGAGCGTGTTGGGCGAACGGATGATCACTGGATTTGTCGGATAAACGGATCCGTAACGGAGCGAAGTCTCTCCTGACAGGCTCTGAGTGGTCTGATTGTAGTTTTATCGTTGTAGAATACAGGCTTCCTTTCGAAGGTGGTCCCCTACGAATTCAGAGCGCCTCTCTGTCTTTACGTCTCTACGTAAATACGCGAATTCCGCCACGAACTCGTTCAATCGCACAGTAAATCTCCGCGGAATGAAGCAAGATATCCATTGGGCCCTTTGAAAGCTGAACATGCAAAGTCGACGTGTCTCGATACTTCGATCGAGACACTTCAGCACGATATACGTTCAACTGCAATTGCGATCTGCGGCCCGAGAAATGTTCAAAACACCGTAGAAAGTTTATTTCTTCTGATTAATGATACATATGCGATATCGTTCGTAAAAGAGACAAGAAGATTCAACGCGAAGATAAATTTTAGAACACTCGCAAAAATGATTTGTCATGAAAATCGAATAATTTCTTTTAAACTTTACGCAAGTGGTGAAATGGAAATAGAGCTGTTTGTGTCCGCTAACTAACGAGATTATGCGGATGTCGGAAATTCCGAGGTAAAAACGGTCGGTCGTGGAACAAATATCATCTCTCTTTTACCACTAATTGTATTTCCGGCTATATTTCGCTCTTATATTTCGGCACATTGGTCTCATCGAACAACAGTCACGAATCAATGATGAACGGCATGCGTATGAAAGTTGCTGGCGAAGTTATATCGAACGCATCGACACTGCGTGTCGATTCAAATGCCGCAAATAGACTTCTGCGACGCTCGTTGCTGATTAATCGAACATAGGACTGCGCGACACAGGAATTGCAGTATTTTATACTGCTTGGAGCACAGTGCGTGGCCGATCGAGGGCGATCGATCTTTCGATCCTTTCGCACTTATCCCACGATCCCGCGACGATCGAGCGCGCACCGAGCGAGCATGTGCGTTACGCACGCACTCGTGAATCGGTCGGGTACATTCACCCGAAAATATGAATTCTCAAAAGGAATATTAAAAAAGAAAAATTAAATGAAGACTCGCGAAATCCACTCGCGTTCAATTTCAGCTTAAATACCGGGAAAAACTCGCCGTCGCGTTCTTTGCGGATCGTAACTTCCGATCGATCATCGATCGGCACTTACAAAGCAGACCACGAAGGTGAGATCTGCGGACGACCCGTGAATAATGACACGACGCGTTTTCGCTCCGATTTTGATTCATGGATCACCTACCCGCGTCGCGTACCGTCGTGAGGCGTACGATAATAAACCTCCCTCGCGATGAAGCCACATCGAGTCCTGACCCGCGGCGGCTCGGTACTGAAACCATTGAATATCGCGAGGAACCCTCGCGAGTCGTGTCGGCTTCCTCCGCTCGTGCTCGGCCATCTTCGGACACGCTCGCGCGGTCCGTCCCATTCTGGACCACAGCTTTATTCTCCGCCTCTCGCTCGCTCGTATGTTTTGCTCCGAAACTCCCACATTCAGCGCCCATCTCCCGTCTTCGTCGCGGAGACCGCTATGATTTACAGGCGCAGCTAATGAGTCGCCATAATCGCCGCGTGGTCCAGGCGGATACGCGTGAACGTAAGATTTTCGGCGGAACATGGGAGAACGTGCGACGCGAAAGTCAATAGTGGGAGACGGAATGTCAGGGTCGTTACATTCTTACGAAATTAACGTGGTTTCGTGACTTTCAAAACGGATGGATTTCACCGAGAAAACGGACGGAACGTAAAATATGTGACGTACCCTAATTAACGTGTCCAATCGACTTGATTACGTCCTGCTATTCGTATATTTCCAATACTTCGGACTTTTTCCCACGGATTTATAGACCTTAGAGATCTATAGAACTCGCGTGTACTTGTTGAAAGAGGATATTGCACACGACGATAAATATGTCCTCAAGAATGAGAGCATGTACTTACGTCATAGAGTGTGTTCATGAAAACTGATAGTTCGTGCGTATCTGGCGCATGCACGAGATAACGGCCCTCGAAGCTTCATGACTCTCTCTACGAGAACTCGCTCCAATCACGATAAATTCCGGCTTTCGTGTTTCCATCGCTATCGGCAATCGCCTGCAAATCACTTCCTAATCCTCATCGAGTAGGTATCTACGAAGGTACCCTTCCTAAATCCGCTTTGAATGTTCAAGAATGTTCCTATATACGTGTCCTATATCGTTATTTTCTCATCCACCATATAATGTCACTTAAATATTGACTTTTCTCTTATCTCGGACTTTAATAATATGTAATAAAACGTACAACTAAAATTTATATAATATTATATACCGTATTTACTTTTGCAACTAGAATTATAAGCTAATATTTTCTTTCAAAAAAATTTAAATATTTTTCTTGCATCTACTATTCTATATATACGTTCGCTTTTCAAATATATTGTAATTACATGAAAATCACATTAAAATAGACACGGTGAGTGCGAAGCTTCTTGCGAATGTATTATTAATTTATTATTTTATTAATTATTTTATTAATTATTAATTAATGAATCAAAACGACCATATTAAATGATATTTAGGTGCATTGTTATGTTAATACCTATTTTCATATTTTAGCAAACTTTATATATTAATTCGTGATTATATATTAGATTTTATTATATGTGCGATTTCATACGATGTGACACAGAAAATCGATATACGATAATAAACAATATTTAATAACGTTTATGCGTCCTAATTACATCAATACCCGAAGCCAATCATAATTGATGTGTATATCGCTGTTTACCTAACTCTGTTTCGTAACCTTGATGAAGTTATGCATTCTAATTGACGCAACATTGATCTAAAATATTTGTACGAATAAATGTTTCGTGTTATCATTAGTAATAAAATATAAACCAAAACATTACATTTCTACCGCAATGTATTTGAATCATTAAAGCGGAAACTGAAACATTATTTAGAGGACACAGCTAGTCCGATCGATTTCACGAAGTGTGGTGACACGGAGATATAATCGATTCTCGGGTCATCGTATCCGAAACCAGCGAATTAATATCCCGCCGAAAACAACTCTTGACGTACAAAATAAAATATATTCGCCTTTTAATTAAAGATAGGTTTTCCCTCGCGGATAGATTTTTCCTGTAGTTGCATTCCTTAGCCTGTTTTCGAACATCCAGCCAACGCGTATTTCGCTTAGTCCACGTCAAAAGAGCATCTTGATATATAACGTTGATATTTTTCATATTAACAATACGCACACGTGTTACTTATGCGCACGGCCGTAAAACCGTGCGCTTGTACATCGAGTTAAAAGTAATCGTTCAGAGAGGCGCAATCATCGGCGGTCCTCATCTACTGCATGCACACAAACTGGACGTAGCGTGCTTCGTTTCATCCCGAATCGCCGATATTTTACATCAGGCACAGAGCCTGCTTTCATGGATGCCCGGCGAATTGGAACTCGACACCGCGTCATGCATCATGGTACATCGTCGGACACCCAGGCTGTTAACCCAAAGCGCAAGCTGGATACGATGTTATAGGCTTCCCTGTGTACTCTTCGACTTGTCGAATAAACCATGAAGCCTGTCAGTCACATTGCCTCCTCGTCTTCCCGGCCACCAACGCTTTCGCGTCTCTCAATGGAATCTGAAAATCGGGTTTTACCCGTCATTCGACAGGTGCCACAAAGGCAATCGATTATACCGCGCGGGTCTGAGAGCGCACTTCAATTCGGATATCTTAATTGCACGCCCTCCCCCTGCTTGCTTTGATAACTATTTTAATTCCCGTCTTTATAAGCGCT